TATCATATTTTTTTCATTTAGTACTGCCCTTCAGAAGCTACAGAATATGTTTCCCAGAAGACAAAATAAGTTAAATTTACCTTGATCTTTAAATTCATAAAGTTTTCACATATTATTGTTATAATAAATACTTTTTTATAGAAAATGTGATTGAATGTATATAATAAGAGAAGAAAAAGAAGAAGAAATGAACCATATACTATAAACATATACAGTTGAAGTCAAAAGTTTTCACACCCCTTGCAGAATCTGCTAAATGTTAATTATTTTACCAAAATAAGAGGGATCATACAAAATGCATGTTATTGTTTATTTAGAACTGACCTGAATAAGATATTTCACATAAAAGATGTTTACATATAGTGCGCAAGAAAAAGTAATAGTTAAATTTATAAAAATGACCCCATTCAAAAGTTTACATCCGCTTGATTCTTAATGCTGTGTTCTTACCTGAATGATCCACAGCTGTGTTTTTTTTTTTGTGATATTTTTTCATGAGTCCCTTGTTTGTCCTGAGCAGTTAAACTTCCACAGTCATTGTTGGAAAGGGTTCAAATACACAAAAATGCTGGAAAACCAAAGAATTTGTGGGACCTGAATGATTTTTCTGAAGAACGGCAGGCAGTTTAACTGTTCAGAACAAACAAGGGACTCATGAACAACTATCACTAACCAAAAAACACATCTGTGGATCAATCAGGTAAGAACACAGTATTAAGAATCAAGTGTATGTAAACTTTCGAACGGGGTCATTTTTATAAATTCAACTGTTATTTTCTCTTGTGGACTACATGTATCTTTTATGTGAAATATCTTATTCAGGTCAGTACTAAATAAACAATAACATGCATTTTGAATGACCCCTCTTATTTTGGTAAAATAATTAACATTTTGCAGATTCTGCAAGGTGTATGTAAACTTTTGACTTTAACTGTATGTACTAGTACTATATGTACTATTATGTACTACTGATAGCCCTCTCTTTTAGAAAGCTTTTATCTCATCTTAAACTAATGAAATACATGTTATCACAATCCCATAAAATGTATTAGAAGTTTACATTTACGATTAAACAAGAGGCTTTGTATAGATTCATGCAACAGAAAATTTAATTACCGGGTCAGAATAGCTTGTACTTTATTATGCTCAGGGTCCCATTACTTCTCATTTATATGTGTAGTCATGCATTCTTAGGTCTATCACATGCAAACTAAATTAGGCCCTTTACCAGTTTTTCCAGATTTCCTGTATATTCTGACATGTTTGTGTGTCCAAAGTAATCAATTGAACTGTTTTCTTTCAGCATCAATAGCCTCAAACATGAGGACAACAGGACTGTTCACACATTCTTGTCCCTCCTCCTAACAACTCTAACCTTTAATGATCTGTGAATCCCCTAATTTCCTTCTGAGAGGACCTCAAATATTTTGATTGCCTTCATTTTGGTGCATTGGGTCTATAACTGTATAAACAACTGTCCTTTATTGTTTTATCCACAGTCTGAGTGCAGTGAAAAATCTGTACAGTATATCTACCTGTTAAAGCAACAAACAAAGACATTTGTTTCAGCTGTGCCATAAAAACAGTGCTGGGATGTTATACATCAGTTAAAACGCATGTAATGTATATTTGTGCCATTTCATGCATGTAACTTCTGTAGATGGACGTTTAGCATTTGTTGACAGCGCCAGAGATAAAGATAAACCCTCATGTGTGACAGATGGCTGTGTCATTTGCAGATAAAAATGAAAGCATTTTCAGTGTCAGCCTCTCAGGAGGGAAATGGAGCATAGTGAAATGAAGAGAAGCAGCATATGGAAAGGGCAAATCCCATTTGTTCTAGGTTATGTGTGGATCTGATGAATAGTGCGACGAGGTCAAAAGGATCAGTGGAACTGCTCTCCGTCGAACTTTACGTTCTGGTCAGCCGATCCAGACTACCTCTGTCTGTTTTTCTCCAGCTTTCTCATTAGCCAAATCTCTCTTTGAGCTTTGCTGCCGGCCACGTTATGCTCTGATGACAGGGAATGTGATACTGAGAGCATATCAGGCCACACCAGTAATCAGCTCTTGCTACTAGAACACCAACTGAGAGAGAAAGAGAAAGACCGCCCACTTGCAGCAGACAGAGGCCCAGCAGGCAGCTAATTAGCATGTGTTAATGAGTTCCTGTGCCAGGGTGACCCACTCAGTAGTGTTGGAAAAGTGTGGAGGTATGGTGTGTCTGCTTCACGGTGCTTGTAAACACAATTACAAACAAGCCTGACGTACTTTGGAACTGCAAATCTAGCACATTCATACAGTATGCAAGGGTTTCGTAATGCAGTTCACTGCAACTGGTTTGCTGCACCCTTACAAAACAAAAAAAGAGAGGGAATATACTGGAAAATATAATTTGATATATTAAATAATAATTTCCATATATGGGAAAGTAGTGCTTATATTTTTCAACATACTGCAATATACACATTGTCCACGCATGGTCCACACACACACACACACACACACACACACACACACTAGTTAATTTTTCTTTGATTAATTAATGGGTTTACTTAAAGCTAAACACATATTCATAAATGTATAAGAAAAAACTGACTGAACTGAAAATTTGACTGAAATTGC